ACTGAGCTGAACTCCTGGAATCCAGTTTCAGAGAGGGAGAAGTGATAAGAAATGGGGTCAAGACCAGGCTACAGAAACCCACAGAGACAGCTGACCTGGAAACCAGCATTGTACCAACTAAGACCCTCTGAACATGGGTCTCAGTATGAAGGCCTGGGCCAGGACCCTACTCCAAATGACTTGACAGAATTTGATTATCCCTCCTGGAAGGCCTCACCCTCCCTGTGGAGTAGGTGGGATTGATATATAAAATAAGAAAAGATAATGAAAAGAAAGTGGGATGTCAGTAGATGTTTAATGTCAAAAAGCAAAGTCAAATGAGATTTGTGTGTGTAGATGCATTGGTGCCCACAAGACTTTTAAAATGTGACAGAATGACAGCCATGTATCATGTACTGTCACCACTCCATTCATTCGTTTCCTCTTTTCTTCTCTGACTTTCCACTGCCAGGCCTTATTCTCAGTCCTGTGGGGGCAAAGATGGCTCCTTAGGGCAGTAAGAATCAATCCAGGCTTAGTCACTGAAAATCTAATATAAGTAGGGGATGATGGTGAGCTGAGCACTTCACAGACCAGGGTAGTAACTACTGTTCCATTGTCACTGTTTATTAATTATGAGCTTCCTTTCCATCAGTCCCTCCTTACTTGGTGAATAATTTTCCTAGGAAGAAATGTTTCTGGCTTCCCAAGCCAGAACACTCTTGCCAAAAGTCTTTTTACTGCAACAGTCACCTCTTGGTTCCTTATGCTGTAGATTAAGGGATTCAGCAATGGGGAGAAGAAAGTATAAACAACAGATACTGCCCTGCCTTCCTCTGGGGTGTAGCTGGAGCTTGGGCGAAGGTAGATGAGGGTGCAACACCCATACTGCAGGACAACCACTAGGAGATGTGAGGAGCAGGTGGAGAAGGCCCGGCGCTTTCCCTCTGTTGACTTCATCCTCAGGATGGTAGCCACAATGCAACCATAGGAGAGACAGATAAGGAGAAAGGGAATGGCCACTGCAGCCACGCTGATGGCAAAGAGAGCTGCCTGGTGTATGCGGGTGTCAGTGCAGGCCAGGCGCATGACCGCAGGCATGTCGCAGAAGAAGTGGTAGATTTCATTGTGGCCACAGAATGGAAGGTGGCAGATCAGAATAGTCAAAGGCAGTGACAACAGGAATCCAAGCCCCAGAGAACCTACAGTCATCTGCCCACACAGCTGCCAACTCATAATGAGGTTGTAATGCAGTGGATGACAGATGGCCACATACCTGTCATAAGCCATGATGGCAAGCAGGACACAATCAGATCCTCCTAAGAGGATGAAGAAGAACATCTGGGCCCCACAGCTGGGCAGAGATATAAGCATCTTCCCCATGGAGAGAATGCTAGCCAGAGTCAATGGAGCAATGTTAGTGGAATAGCCAAGCTCTAATGTGGCCAACACAAAAAGGAAGAAGTACATTGGGGTGTGGAGGGAGTGATCCTGCCAGACAGTGAGCCCAATGGTGAGGTTTCCAATGAGGCTTCCTAGGTACAGCAGCAAGAAGCCCACAAATACCAGGGAAGCTATTGTGGAGTTGGTCGAAAAGGGGCGGAAGTGGAAGTATACCACTCCTGTATGATTTTCCTCCTCCATTAGCTCTAGTACATGAAAAGAAGTTAAAGGTATAGTTACTGTCCCATGTCACTGAGCTGTGTTAAAAATATAGTCTACAGTCACCAAGTACGTATCCACAGGGCTTCCTTTGGCTTCTAACTCCCACTATCCTTGTGACTTTGGAGAAATATGAACTCCAAAATTTTCACTTTAAAATTCAGAAATGTAAACACCTACCTCAGAGTGCTGGTGAAGGTTAAATGAGAGCCCATGTCTACAAGCACAGAGACCAATGCCAGACATGCATGAGGTTCTCAATATGTTTCCTTGTGATTTGCATTCTGTCCTTGATCACCATTCCTCTTCTTCTGGAGCAAAGCTTTCTCACAAGCCTCATGCCTCTTTGTTTCTATTCCATTCACCAGAAGAAGAGTTCATACATAAACATCTCTATAGAAGGCAAGCTACACCAGCCTGCCCTTTACCCATGTTGCAAATGTGGGTATTCCAATCCCAGAGAAATCAAATAGGCCACATTGCCACCCTGAGTAGTCCTTTAACTTGGAATTTTGTTCTAAATTTTTTTCTAAGTCTTCAACAATCCAATTTCATGGTTTGCTGTGCCAAACATCAGCCTTGCTATTGCTTCATCTTCTTTAACATTTTCCTTTATCCATGTTCTTTCTAATGGCATCTACTTTACAAAGGATTTGTGACCTCCTTGCACAGGGCTCACACTCTCACTCACCAAAATATCATAGGTCCAGTGTAGTCCCTTTTAAATGCTTTTTAATCTGTGTTGCTCAATTCTGGGAGTTTTAAAGAATAGCTTCTTATTCTTGCATTATCATACCCAATTATTAAATCCTGATTCACAAAACAATTTTTACATGAAAGTGGAGTGTTTTCCTGAGGTATAACTTCAGGAATAACTTTAAAAAAAAATCTCAATTGCCCTGGTCACCACCCATGCCCTCATTGACAATTCAGTGTCTCTGAACTTGAGTTTGTTACAATCAGGACTCACAGACACATGCAAACATGTCCCTATGGTTGTGGTTAACCTTTACAGTTGGATGAAACAAGCCAAACATAGCTGCCAGAATGCTCTTTCCCTTGATGCTTGCAGAAGGTACTCAGAAAGCCAGGCTAAGAACACTATTTTGCTTAAAGAGATGGAGGGAGTCAAAGAACAAACTCAAATAACTATTGGTTTGTGTTGGTTTGATAGCCAACTAAGCTTCAGTATGTGTTGGACTTTTCCTTGTTTTCTATGGTGGTCAGGCTGCTGGAGGAGGAATCTCTTCCTTTAGAAGTATGACTACCAATAGGTTGCTTGTGCTCATGCAGCCAATGCTAAATGGACTCGCCAGGTTATTAAAAAGAAAAGGGGACATAAAGGTAAGAGGAGGACGGGGCACATGTTGGGTAGAATCCTGGGGGGAATGTGAGAAGGAGTTGGGGGTGTTTATAATCAAGATACACTGTATATATGTATGAAATTCTCAAAGAATAAATAGCAATATTGATAAATAAATAGTGACCCTCCATGCTGGGAACTCTGTAGAGAAATTAATATTTAAAAGCTAGTTGCCTGGAAAGTGGAAGGCTCAAAGATCTAAGAAAAAAAAGTTTTTGTCCTTTAGTTTACCAGCTTATAAAGAATTAGGATTATTGTGACAATTTTCAAACAAAATTAGTTTTCTTTGTTGTTAGAAAAATGATTTAATAATACCTAAAAATGCTCTATTTTATCAAACTATTGATAATTTTCCAAGCTGGCAATGTTCCCATAAGTGTTCATTATACCACTTCTTAATGGATGTGGGTTACAGATATCTCAAACAAAAAAATTAACATTTCAATGCAAATTTATTCACTCTACTCCCAGAGTCTAAGCTTAGAAATTAATCTGAAACAACAATGAATTTTGTTTTAATAGAAAATATGCAAACAATCTAATATAGAATATGAAGTTAAATCGATGCAATATAATTGTTTGAAATTACATTTTTAAGTTGATGCATTTGTTACATAATATAAAATAAAAACAATACAAGAGTTATTTCCACAGTGTCAACAGAATCCACATTTAAATTATAAGCAATATTTTCCCATTTATAATATTTTATTCTTTTCATGAATAGCAGTACTCAATTTAATTAATTATTAATACAACATAATTTTTAAAAATATCCAGACAGCTGTTTCACTCTCTGTGCTGGATCAACACAGCTCTTCATCCCACCTCATTGCCTCTGGATCATCTGTGTACATGTTGGTCTCCCTGTCTATGTCCTAGGTACAAACTTCTGATTTTATTGAGGACAGCTTTTCTTTGCCCTAATACCCACTCATACACAGTTTTCATACAATAAATAAAATACTACTTTCTCTTAAAAGCTATGCCAGCTCAACAAAAGCTAGTAGCTAACATGAACTGAGTGCCTGCTGATGTTTCATGTATTGAGAAGTGACTCTTGTTTATTGGATGCCTGGCACTATCCTAAGTATTTTCTATTAACTTACTTGTTCTTCATAGTAAAGTGACAAAGAAGGGCTGTTATCCTCTCTTTATGGATAAATGCAAAACCTGCATCCCAACTCCAGCCAAGAGGCTGCAGGTTATGTACACTTACCCATTGCTCCATGTTGACTTGCTACAGCCATGTCCCCACATCTGTCATGTTTTTGGCTTTCAGATTTACCTACATGGACTGGTAGGAAAATAATGATTTGCCACTTTTATCTACAGGAGAAAAATACATCACCTACCAGTTGACAGCAAGAAATCCTTTCTTCTTAAGTGTACCTAGTATGAAACCATAGGTAGTTTTAATATGTGATAAGAAAAATAAGAACCCTTGGCTGTTGTGATTTTTATTGCCCAATTGAAAGGAGGAGGGAGACAGAAACAGAATCTATTTTCACAGAAACTCTTTTCTAAACAAAAAGTAAAGCTTACCTCAATCTTATTTTTTAAAAAAAATCACAAGAACACTAAGTTATCAGATGGCTTTTCAAGCATTTCCAAACCCCCAGAGTCTTAGACATATCTCATCTTGGAGACCAGGAAAACAGAGATCCTGGAAGCTCCAGAGATGTCTCTCTGGGGTATGGTGCAGACCAGTGTTACTCAGGAATCCCCACTGAGTTCATTTATTTAGTAGTTACCTATTGAGTTCTTTTTTTTTTTTAAGCCAGATATATTTAAAAAGATCGTGCTTACAATAAGTAAATTACGTAGTGAAGAAACATCAAAATGAAGTTGATGGATAAAAAGGCACATTTGAAAAGTTTAAGAGTACAAAGAGTTCCTTATTTGTTAACTAACACAGACGGAAAGGGAAACGGATATATTACAATTACGTCCTCGGGGGAAGGTTCCTGTCAGTGAAAGTGATTAACATTGGCTTCTTTTCTCCCTTCTCCGGGGCAGTCTTTCCCATCCTTTGTGTGAAGAGGCAAGTTACTCTTCTGCCATGTAGAGGCGATACATCAGGGCTACAGCCAGGACTGAGATGGCTGGGATCACCCAGTTGGTCCACCAACTGGAATTAGAATCCACAGTAGTGATAAGAGTTTCCACAGGCTTGGCTATCTTTGATCTGTCATCGGGATGGAGCTCCCCGATGATGTAGGTTTTGGACAGTTCTAGAGCATCAGTAGAGTGCCTGACGTCCTCAAAGTTCTCGGTAGCGTCACCCCTGGCCTGTTCCCTTAGTACTTCTTCTCCACCAGGATGCTCTTCCAGAAACTTGGTCAGATCGTACACCTTGTGGTGCAGGATCACCCAGGTGCTCTTGCTGTCTTTGTGCTTCTGAATCTCCTCCAGCTTGTAGTACTTCACATCCTTGTCTGCCTGCCCAGCCATTTCGTAACAGTGAGCCTCCCTGACCCTGAGACACAGCCTTGCAGGGAGGTGCGCTTCTCACTTCTCACCTATTGAGTTCTTACCACCTTTATGTTTCTTGTACTGTTCCTGGACATGGAAATACAAAAGTAAAAAAAAAAAAAAAGGCCTTGACTTGAAGGTTATATTCTAGTGAGAAATAATAGATGATAAAAGAAAAATAAGTAAACAATATAACAATAGGTAATGTGTGTTATGTGAAAAATAAAGCAGGACAATAAAATGGGGAGTGATGACAGCAGGAAGTAGGAAGTATGCGAATTTAACTAGAATTAAGAAGCCTCTGTCTAGGAATATGACCTTTGAACAGAGACATACATATATAAAAGATCAAAAAAAGAGCACACTGAGAAAGAAGACAGCTTGTGTAGTGATTTAAGGCAGGTACTTGTTGGTGGTTTAATGAGCTCCAGGAAGTGGAAAGGGGGATGGAGAAGTGCAAGCAATCAGGAGAGATGAAAGAGAAGGTTGCAGCGGAGCCTGCAGGATGTTCAGGACTCCAGCTCTGCCCACTTTGCAATGTAAGTCTTGTGGAAACCACTGGATATTTTAGGTAGAGCAATGTCTAGCCTTTGTGTTAGAACTCCATACTTGACCATACTTGACCATGACACAAAGAACACAGTTGGGAGTGAGGTGACAGCCAGGAGGCTAGGGATGATGCTAAATCGAGTCCTTGTTTAGCATCCACAGAGCCCTGCATGATGGCACACCCCTGTGATAATAGAACTTAGGAAGTGGAGGCAGGAGGATCAAAAGTTCAAGATCATCCCCAAGAGTATATGTATCTCAAGGCTAGCCAGGGCTATATGAAACTGTCTAACAACAACAACAAATAGGGTCAGTAAGATGACTTAGCAGGCAAGGGCACATGCTTCCAAGCCTGTTGATATGAGTTCAGTCCCCAGAATCCACAAATCCACGTGTTCTCTGAATGTCATCACACACACACACATGCACACACATATGACTCATGGACACACACACTAAATAAGTATTAAGTAAATAAATACTAGTTTAAATTTTTTAATACAATAAAGTAAAAATAAACAGATAGTTGGGCTATTTTGTTCACTCACTTCTTTTATTAAAATAGAAATTCAGTAAAAATTTGATCTTGTGAGAGATGTTAGTAAGTTAGCAATTATTGGGCCAAATTCTTTGCTTAGTTAGGCACTCATGCTGTTACTCATCATTGTTTCCATGTTCCAGGTGAAGAAACTGAGGCTTTAAGGTTAAACAACGGACGGGAGACTGAAGAGATGGCTCAGCACTGCTCTTCCAGAGCACCAGGATCCTGTTCCCAGCACCTGTTTCTGGCAGCCTGCATCATCTCATCACTCCAGCTCCCATAGATCCAGCGCCCTCTTCTGGCCTCTGAGAGCACCTGCAATTGTGTGCTATGGCACACATTTACACATAATTAAAAATAAAAAATATGTTAAGAAGTTAAAGAGCTTAATCAAAATTAGATATCTTAAAACAAGTATCTGTAGGACTGAAGTTCAGCATCATGTTTGTGATGGACATGGTATTTGTGCAATGTTTGGTTCAGGGACCAGCAGTGGTGGCAGCAGCTAGGAGTATAGTTCTCTGGACACACCCAGCTCTCCAACAAATACAGTAGGTTTGCTTTGTTTGGCTTTGTGTTTTGAAATAGCTTCTGTGGCTGCTCTCAAGCTCACTTATGTAGCTAAGGAGAATGTCTAACTTCTGCTCCTCTTTATACCGAGGTTTTGTGTCTACCTCCCAAGGGCTAGGATTACAGGCATGCATGTTAGATTTAAGTATAATAGCTTTTATTTCAATTCCTTACCATTGCTAGGTATAAGTTTATAATCCATAATACCAAGTCCCCCCCTTTTTATGTCTTTCAGTATTGTTGTGGTGGTCAGGGATAACCTGTCTGGTGTCTGGTATTTTACAAGCTTGACTCTGTTACTTGCTATTAAAAATGTGTCCTGCTATGAGTTTTTTTTCTTAAGATTTATCCTATTTTAAGTTCATAGGTGTGGGGTGTACCCATGTGATCTCCTGGAGCTAGAGTTACAAACAGTTGTGCTGAGAACAACATTCAGGTCCTCTGCAAGAGCAGTATATACTCTAAACCACTGAGCTATTCCCTCCAGTTCCTGCTATGAGATTTTAATGTGTTTTTCTAAATTAAACATCTGTATACTTATACTTAATTAAGCATCTGTGTTTATGAAGTCTGTCTCCATAGTGATGGCTAACATACTTTTTTGTTTTTTGTTTTTTGTGGGTTTTTTTTTTTTTTGCAAAATTCCAGAAAATAGGTATATTTTAGACATCACAAGTCACACAGTCCCTTTCATAACCACTCAGCTCTACATTATAAGTGAAAGCAGCCATGGACAACAGCTGAAAATTGACTGTGGCAACTGGGTGTGGTGGTGCACACCTATAATCCCAGAACTCAGGAGGCAGAGGCAGGAGGATCTCTTGTGAGTCTGGGGCCAGCTTTGTCTATATAACGAGTTCTAGGATTCCATAGAGAGACCCTGTTTCAAAATACAACAACAAATGACTGTACTTGTGTTTCAATAAAGCAAAGAGGCACCCTGAAGAAGCCTTGCTCCTGACTGCTTGCACTAAGGACTGTTAGCTTTGAATTGTGACACCATTAATTACTAGTTGTATGACCTTACACTAATTAGCTATCATTTTGTTCTCAATTTCCTTATCTGAAGAATGAAGGTAGTAACAGTCCCTCCTTCATCATTTCCTCATGAATGCTGAATGATTCTCATGAAGCATCCAAAAGGGTCCTCTTTCCAAGAACCATCCAGTGCCATAAACACAACAAGCAGAAATCTTTTCTGACTTATTTACCTTTGTACAACCAGTTTTAAACCCATAAAAGTATGCATTAAATACTTACAGAATTGAGTATATTAGTCACCATGTATTTTTAAAATGCAGAAATTAGTAAATACCTGGTGGCCAACATAGACACAATGGAATTTTACTCAACCCTAATAAAAAATAAAATTACAACATTTTCGAGAAAATGCATGGAATTGAAAATTTTTATACTAAAGAAAGTAGCCCAGACTAGTAAGACATGTACTATATGTTCCCACACATGGATTCTAGATGCTTATGTTTGCATATGTGTATATGGGGCTATGGATACAACACATGAAACCACACAGGGGATGGTGAGGTGGAAAAGGTGACTTTCACAATGGTAGGGTCTAAAAGGTAGGATAGCAAAATGCATGGGAGTGGAATAAAGGCTTCTGGGAGAAGGAAAGGGGGCAGGAAAAGTGAATGGGGGAGGGGAGTTGGCAAAATCAAAGTATGTGTAAAAATATGATGCTGAGATCTACTGCTTTGCTACTTTAAAAAATTAAATAAGTGTGGATAAGTAGTTTGTTCCTAGTCCTAGTTTATTCAGAACTATAAAGATTTTTGCTAACTTTATGTTCCTGTAAAGGATCCACAAATGAGTAAGATTTGTCTTTCTGAGACTGGCTTGATTTCCTTATTATGCCTTATCTTCAGTTGCATCTATCTTTTCTGCAAATGATGTAACCTTTCTCTTCTTTATGAGTCAAAAAAAGTTTGTTGTGACATGAGCCACATGTACTTATTTCATTCTTCTGTTGATGGACAGCTAGGCTGGATCTGGAACTTAGCTACTGTGGAGAGGTGGAGAGTGCTAGCCTGTGAAATATTCTTGCTAAAGTCTTTCAGGTAAATATCCAAGAGTAGTATAGCTGAATCACATAGTAGATCCATTTTTAGTTTTTGATTTGCATAGTGATTGGACTAGATAACGTTCCCCCACAATGAGTATATCAGTCACCTGACTGTACAGCATTTCTTAGAAGAATCACTACCTGGAGGAGCAAAAGAGACAATTGGAGGGAAGAAACAGGAGCACAGTATATGGGGGACTATGTTCAAAGTATCTCAAACATTTTTTATGAAAATGGCCTCACATAACCCAGAATAAAGAAAATTTAAAACTTTAAAATAAACTCCACAGAAATACATGATATGTTTTCCAGCATCTTCCAAGATTAAAACTGCTTTATTCTTGTTTATTATTTTTTGATAGGTTGCTCCAGTTGTCAACAAATGTGTATATTGGTAAAGATGTCTTTCCTTCTGCTTTTTTTTAATGGTGGTTTTTGACAGGTTATTTATTGAGTTATTTTATTTAGGCACTCATTGCTATGACATTCTCTTGCTAGTAATTTTGCTGAATCCTACACATTGTAACATGCTTTGTTAATTACCTCAATATTATTTTGAGATGCCCTGCCAATTTCTTCGCTGATACTGGTTTTCCAAAAGGATGTTCCTTGATTGCCATTGAGGTGCAGATTTGTGGAAGCTCCTCTTTATGGTTTCTATATTTCTATCTTTCTCAATTTTTTTGAGTCTTGTTTAACAGCCAAATATATTACCCCTACCTGGGGAATTTTCTGTGTGCAATTATATTCTGTCCATTAGATCCATTTGACTGAAACAGTAGCATATATGCCGGGGCTTCCTGGTCATTTTCTGTCTGAATGGTCTGCCCGTTACTGAAAGGCTCGAGTTGAAGCCTCTTACTGTTGCTATACAATTGCTTCTCTCTCCAATCATAAATATCAATATTTGTTTCATACACTTAGGCAATCCAATGCTAGATGCATGCATCTCCCTAATGTGTCTTCTTGCTGAATTGATCCCTTTAATACTATGCAATCCCTTCCTTCTCCTCCTTTCACGTTTTTAAAAACAAAGTCTACTTTATCTTAAATAAATCTAGCTACTGTCCCCTCTCTTTCAGTTTCCATTGCAAGGACTATCTTTTTTCATTCCTTCTCTTTTGGCCTATGTGTTTCCTTAACCTGAGTACCTAGTTGGGTCATTTTTCCCCATCCATTCAGCTACTTCACATCTTTTGGTTTGAAAAGGTTACACACTTACAGTCAGAATAATCATTAAAAGGTGGTGACATACTACTGGCATTTTAAAGTTGTTTTCTAGTTGTTTTGTATATCT